GGTCATGCCACAGCATTTCAATTGGAACCAAGCTTGAACTTTGACTCGGTCACTCAAAAACATTTTGGTTTTTAAAGCCATTCAGGTTGATCTGCTAGTGTGTTTTGAATCGTTGTCCTGCTTCTGACAGCTGAAAATTCTCCTTCGGGTAAAGAGCAGAATTGACGGTTCCATCAATCATCGCATGTCCTCCAGTTCCTGAAGGATCAAAGCAGCCCCAGGCCGTCACACTAATGCCGCCATGTTTGACTGTTAATATGATGTTTTTTTCAAGGAAAGTGTAGCAACATTGCTTGTGATAGCTGCCAACTTGCAAGCGACCAACTTTTCTGAACCACATCACTGAATCTCACCGAATCACACGTTGTGTGTCTCACGCTAGTCACAGACTGGCATGTTGTCAAGTTGTTGTTCACAAAAAGTGTTGTGATAATCAGTACTGATTTCAAAGAGGTTGACATTGATTGGAATTCCGCTTTAAGAGCGAAAAGATTTCATATTTTCCGGCAATACCGGCCCCGTGTCGGAATGCCGGTGGGCCACGGTGATCAAAATGAAGCGAGGCGCCACCGTGGCGTGACTTAATCATATTAATATTGATTTGGGGCGCGATCATTGTCTCGTAGTCTATTAACAGATTAGCTGTCTGTCAATAAAAATAACATTTAAAAAAATCTTTATTTTCACACCGCTGCTGCACGTTCTTTTATCTGCCTGACAAAAATACGCCCGTGGATAGTATTAGAACCACGGCGGCAAAGATTTCATGACACGCCGTGTGGAGTATACTAATGTATTTCATGTTGCGGGGATGACGGGATCTGTATTATTTAGCATTGCCGGCAAGATGAAAGCAGCAGCTTTGACACTTTCTGTCAGAAGATGACACACACCGATGTCACAATAAGACATTTTTTCACGGTGAAACCCCCAAATCCTGAAATCATCAAACTGTGACACTGCTTCAGACAAAATGGCCAACTTTCCGTTCAATTTGGAGCAGAGTTCCTTGTAAGTTTTCCCCATGCGTTCTGCTTTCATAAACATCCATCCATCGATCCATTTTCTGATCCGCTTTATCCTCACAAGGGTCGCAGGGGGTGCTGAAGCATATCCCAGCTGTCTTCGGGCAGTAGGCGGGGGACACCTTGAACCACACCTTGGGACAATTTAAAGTGTTCAATCAGCCCGCCATGCATGTTTTTTGGAATGTGGGAGGAAACCGGAGTACCCGGAGAAAACCCACGCAGGCACGGGAGAACATGCAAACTTCACGCAGGAAGGCCGGAGCCGGGATTGAACCCACGACTTCTGCACTGTGAGGTCAACCCGCTAATTACTCAACCACCACTGGGGCTCCCTTTCATAAACATGTGCACGCAATTTGGTGTTGGTGTGTTCATTTTTTCCAGCTGCCCAATGCAAAATGGCCGATTCTAACCAAAATGGCCATCTTTCTGCTCAATTTAGGAAATGGTTCATTTCTCATAGTTTGAGAGACATCTAAGACACAATTATGTGGCAACTTGTGAAATTGGTATAAAGGAATTCCACCACCCCCCCACCCCCTCCTCGCACCTCCCCAGCTTTCCACCAGATACATTTAGGCCAACATTAGACTACACGGGTGCTTCTTCAACACTGACCAATAGGAAGACAGCATCCTCCGACATACGATGAGAGACTGACGTGACGCACCCGATTACAACGTGGTGTACGGTATTTAAAAATGGGCTTGAACAAAAGGGGGAATATTTCCAACAGTATACCGTAGCTCACATTCACACGTATGAACCATTTGGACAACAATTTGCAACCTCAGAGGAGAGTTTTTGAATCACAGAAAAACCACAGCTGTGATACAGAGACAGTCACGAACCAGTACCTGCCAACTGTGTTTCATGACAGCCTCCTAAAATGTGGAAATAATAATGATTTTTTTTAAAAAGCTTTGATGTGCAGCCAAAGCGGTCATTAACTCATTCTAAATATATTCCAAAGTGTTATTAATAATTTCTGTTTAGCTATGCTCACGAGCCACTTCAAAAAAAAAAAAAAAAAAAGCCTACAAAAAAATGACCACGTTTTGTTTTCCGCAGGCCGCTTTGTTGGTGGTATTAATTTTCTAAAAAGCCTGGCGTTAATTACACGCCGGATTCCCCGCTGGCTCGTAACTCGCGCGCAACCAGCGCCTGTCAACGTTCTAACTGACGCCGTGTAATTTACACTCGGCGCCTTGTCAAAGCTACCGTTTGATTGACAGCTCAATAGTAAATAGCCCAAACAGTGACCGGGCGTAGGGATTGTAAGCATTCTAAACACAGATGTTCGTAAAAGGAGACGCCAGCGGATGCCTCAAGAGGAGAAAGTACAAAAAAAAAAAAAAAAAAGTAGACTGACATTTTGCGGAATGTTTTGAAACAATTTGTCATCATGTTACAAAAAAGTGACATTAAGTCGAGCTGAACAATGAATCCAATCCAAATCGATAAAACAATGAAACAAAAACTGACGGGAAAACCAAGCACGAAATACAGGCAAACTGATGAGACAATGAGGCACACCTGGATAAGACACGAACGAGGGTGTCTGGAGGGAGCTGATTGGTCGAAACAAGGAGAAGGCGAAACGAAAACGTAACCAGCGAGAGATACCATGGAAGACCAAACGTTCAGAAAAGTAAACGTAGAACTGAATCAAATGAACAAAAACAGATCATGACAGCAAGTTCAAAATATCTCAATTCAAGTAATCAAAACTCCTGCAATTACTTAACAATAAAATTGAAGAAAAAAAAAAATAATGTCAAACTGAGTCCATGCCGGGAGTAGTTTGGGGAAACTTGCCCACCCCCCCAAAAAAAGTGGGGATTGACATTTTGCTGAATGTCATAAATCTCAAGTTTTAAGTGGCCTTAATTAAGACAGAAGCAAAAGTGCCAGCTCCTGCCCTCCAGTTAGCCGTGACATCGCACAAATGACTAAGTGAAGCTCTACTTCAGAAATGGCACCGCGGGGAAATTGAGAAAATCACGCGGCATCGAAGGCATCGGACAGAAAACGTCAACAATGCTGGAGAACAGAAGACATCTTGTTTTTTTACTCAACCTTCCAGTGCAAGGATACAGGAGCGTATTGACGCCACCTCAGAACAAAAACTTCAAGATGATGTTATAATGCGATACATTTCATATTTCACTTTATAATGTGCCAAGTTTCACGTGATGTGATCAATTTCATGTAAAAACATGAGTTTCACATTTTACAATGTTAACTTTCACATTTTAACGCGACGAGTTTCACAACAGGTGGTGTTAAGTTTTGAGCTATAATTGTGATAAATTTCATGTTTTCACAAGTATTCATGTGAATAAGTATTCTCGTGCAGTGCAAGCAGTACTATTTACGACAACTTGTGCTTTTTAGCGAACTCATTATTGCCAACGCCCACCCATAGTCATATTGACTTCATATTTTACTTGCCAGGGTTTGACTTGGGTGCGATGCCGAGGGTCGGACCGTGGCAACTCCTTTACTTGTACACCAGGTCTCCATTTGGAAGGGTTTCACCGGGTTTTTGTGTGCACAATGTGATCTTCTTTTAAGAGTTGCACTAAGTCGACGAGTCATTTATTCAACGAAGTTACGCCATCTTCTCACACCGCGTAAAATGCCACGCCCACTTTATCGTCGTGAGTTTAGCTACTTCTTCTTCGTTGAGTGGATGCTTCTTCTTCGTTGGTATAATTGCTTCTTCTTCCTGTTTGGAGCCACGCCTTTAACACGCAATGCTGTTTTTTTTTTTTTTTTACACGCAATGCTGCTGTCAGGCTTTGCTTTGTGATTTTTTTCTGTCGAACATTTTATGAAAGGCATTTTCTATTGAGATTGATCACGTGTCTTTCGCGACACATTTTGACATTGATTACTCGTCCAGCCTTATTTTAAAGTGGTAAAAGTTCACATTTTAAGTTTCACGTTATTATGCCAACATAATATAATTATTTTTATTTAGATATATGTCACAGCCATTGTTATTCATGAAAACACTTATTGGAGGCTTATCACGGTTTATACATTTTTTTTTGCGGGGGGTGGGGGGGGTTGTTTTGTTTTTCAATGTTTTTCACTGTAATTCATTCCACACAAAACGAGCATTTAGCCTTCTTGAATGGAATTTTTCAGGGACACACAAGCGATGGTTTATAACAACAAAGTGCATATACGCACCTGCACATATCGTCTAAATTTAAACTCAGGGATGGGCTCTGTCTTTATTGTTAAAATGAAAGATTCCTCTTGTAGTACACTTGTGAGGGTGCCGCTTTAAAGGCAACACTTGAGAGGCGAACAAGTTGTCTGCTCGCTTCCTAACATCTTTTATTGATGGCAAATCACGCTTTTTATAGCTGCGCCGTAAACGCCGGGTGCTCCGCAGTTCCCATGACCCTGGAGTGGAATTATTTACATTTTCGAGTGCTCTTCACACAAAAATGAAACAATCAAAAAAAACAAACAAACAAAAGAAAAAACACATGGTGTTCCGACCATGCATTAACCATCTTTAAAGATAATGGAGAAAATACTTTTTCCATATCAACAACAGCCTGCCACTTACTTTTGTTTCTTTAGTGTGCCCAAAAACAAATATTGTGCACTAGAATTTAACGGATCAGTGTGACCCACTCAACATTTCACCATGAAAAATAGTGCGCAATGCTTTTACATTTTTTAAAACGTTAAAAACAAGACCGGCACAATAAATTCAATCACAATTTCCACCCCCCCTAGTTTTGTGTGTCACTGTGACCCGCTCTTTGCTTAATCTTCACAATGCATCAGAAGACAATGCAAATTAAATTTTAAATTATATCAGAACATTCTTCCAAAATTCTTCACATGTAATACAATGCGAATTCAGTGGAAAAAAAATACAATAATAAGGTCAACAGAGTGAATGTAATCCCAATTTTTCAAGATGTTCGTACTGTGTTCCTCCAGGTGGACCTGCAGCAGAATCCGTGGGAGTGCAACTGTGAAGCAGCGCCCCTCAAGCGCTGGCTGGAGGGCCTCAGCGCTGTGGTGGTGATGGGCGAGGTGGTGTGCCACTCCCCAGAAAAAAACAAAGGCGTGGACCTGCGCTCACTCTCCATGGAGCTGCTGTGCCCGGAGCTGAAGCCGCAGGAGGACCGCGAGCAGCGAGCGGCCACCTCATCCGCACCCGACGGCGGCTTGGCGCTCGGCCACCCCGACCCGGAGCCGGGTCCCCTGAACCCACCCGGGAAGGACTCCATACCGCTCTCGGTTCTGGTTCTCAGCCTTCTGGTTCTGTTCGTGTCGGCATTCTTCGCGGGGGCGGCGCTCATCGCGTACACTCTTCGGCGGCGCGACAAGTTGCCGTTCCGTCGCCAGGGCGAGGTGGACCTGGCCGGCATCCAAATGGAGTGTGGGATCTTCTCTGAAGGGACGCACCACCACCATCACCACCACCACCACCACCACGGCCTGACCGAGGCGCCGCCCCAACATAACCACGTCTACGACACCATCTCGGTGCCCAAAAGCCCCGACCCCGAGGAGCAGAAAGGCAGGGTGTCCGGCGGGTACCGCTCAGCGGCCGAAAAAGACCGTGAATGGACCCTCCAGGTGACTTCGTCACCCATCAGCACCGTGGCCGGGGCCATGGGACCGCTTGCGCCGGGCCTCCATGAGAACGGCATCCTGTGCCCCACTGTCATCGACAGCCAGGGCCCCACGCCCAAGGTAGAATTGGTGGACTGCCTCTTCAGACTTCCCGCCCTGGAGTTCCGGGACCTGCCGGACAGGTACGCCAGGCCGCCGCCCCGCTACCCTCACCCGCAGGACACCCAGCTGCAGGACGCCGCCTCCTCCGGCGAGCTCCAGACGCTGGCGGCTGCCACGGCCTCCGCCGGGGGCGAGCAGGGAAGCGATCAGGGCGCTCGGTTGATGACCACGCCGGACTACATGGAAGTATTGGACCGCTCGTACCAGTTTTAGCTGCCTACCCCCTCTCTGGAGGTCCTGTACAGATGCTGGTGAGGAGCCCCGGCGGGGGATTGCGCTACAAACTATTCCTGGATAACAAGCTGGGTCACTTTATTTGCCCCGCGTACTACTCGTTTCGGCGAGGATTACCGGTTTCACGGATCTCCGCCCGGAGGGATGACTCGAGCTACGCTTTGGTTGCGGGGGCGTTGAAAGGTTTTCATGCCAGTGGCGGCACTTCGCAACATCAAAAGCGGGAGAGTCGGGTGAGGGGGGGGGGGGGGGGGACAAAATAAAAACTGCTAAAAGTGCCTTAGCGACGAGCAGCCAGCAAGTGTGGTCAATGCTTATTTTTCTAATGAATACAGATCTATTTATCTAAACTTCGACAGGATGGATGGGATGACCAATCAGAGTGGAGGAGGAGGAGGAGTGGGGGTGGAGGATCCCAAAAAATACGATTGGAATTGTTCATATTCTTTCATGCCATTAAATTCATTTCCAAGTTGAATTAGGCAGCAAAGTAGAGCGATGATGATGTTATCATTGTTATTATCGTTATTGTGTGAATGCTGAAGAGTTCATTATTCCACCTCGACCCTTGCAAAGATCCCAAATTTAGGCTAACATATGACAAATGCACACAATCCTTCCATATTTCTCGACCAATGCAAACCGTGACAATGTAAAAATGATTGCCGCCTTTAAGGACATCTTGGAATCTATTTTACACAGCCCACCCCCAAATATCAAATTTTTGCAACACGCCACGGCAAGATCCTAAAAGTCCTTCCTCAGTTCTCTATCGATTCAAACCCTTCCAACGTCAAAACATTCAAGTCATTCATTTCAATTTTTCGATTTGTGAAAAATGTTGAGAAATCTAAAACTGGCTGCGCTTTGCTTCCCAAATTTAACCTTCTTAATTCTTTTCTCGACCTTCAACATTCAAACCATTCCAGCATCTATTTTTACACATCCCTCAAATTTTGGGCTGTTCCACATTTTCCAAAACAAAACCACAATTGAATATAGACATTTAACAATTGCACTGAATCATTTTTAACATTCCAAATAAACTTTCCCCAGTACTTTAGGCAAGCAAAATTTTATTGACAAAGCGCTTTTCATCCAAAGATTGTAATTCAAAGTTACCACTTGCCACTTGTTAGCATAGCAACTGCTAGTAGATTAGCATTTCATAATTTCTCAATCAAAACAGTCTCAGCACTTTATCCAACCAGGTTGCCATCTTATTATATGTGTAATTGCAACTGCAAGGATCAAGTCCAGTCCCACTGGATTTTTAAGAAATGCAGCATTTTATTTTATTCCTGTCATTTTTATCCAAGTATTGAATTCATTTCCTACATTTCGTAACGGACCACAGCCTTGCATTGGGTTCAGCATCAGCTCTTTAGCATTCACACGCCATTTTTACCCACGTGGCATTTTCTCGTGACTACTTGAGTTGATTTTGAATGCCGGCCTATAGTGGAAGGACACTGCGGTGGCGCATTAATTGGAGCAATCTTCAAGGACCCCGGCTCCACGTTTTCATGACGGTTTTCTTTTCTCTTCAAAAGATGGACCAAACGCCGGACTTTTGTTGAAAACAAAAAGACAAAAAAAAAAAAAAAGGACAAAACTTATCAGCTATCAATGATTATCTTTTACCAAGGTACCTTTTTATGTGCCCATCTCCTACAAATATTAGATGCAGTTGTGAGTATATTTATTCTTTTTTTTTTTCTTTTTCGGGGGGGTTGTTGTAAGGGATCACGTTGCGATCTTGACTGTATAATATGATTCTGCATCTGCTTCAGACGCCTTCTTCTTCTTCTTCTTCTTCTTCTTCCTGCCGACCCGACAAGTACAATAAAGGGTGCTACGTGAACGCCACTGTGTGACCGCTTTCAACCCCCAGCGCCTCTTTCTCACAGTCCATCAAATTCTCGCTTTTCCCCAGAATTTCCACATATGGCAAAATTCACCAGATTTGATGTACTGTAAAATCCCGTGAATAACACACACCCGTGTATAATACGACCCCCCCCAAAAAAAAAAAAACAATAATTCACATCGCACAAGCGCAGGTTGGCTACAATACAGTATAGTAAAGCATATGTCCGCCTGTATTTATTTTTTTTCCAAATATATACCATTATTTTATACTCTAGGTGGTGGTGCGGTGGGGGGGGGTGTTTTTGGAGGTTGTCATGGCGACTGGAAAAAAAACATGAGCATCATGGATTAGACCAGGGGTGTCACACTCATTTTTGTCGCGGTCCACATTGTAGTTACGATTCCCTTGGAGGGCCGTTATGAATTTTGGGAAACCATATAAATGTTTAATCCCCTCCACATTACATACACAGCGCACAACAAGTTGATGGACATCTACGGTAGTTTTAAAATCAAAAGTCAAGAATAATGACTTGTTTCAACATTGTTTACATTAATGTCGTAAGATGTTTGGTAATGAGAAAATAGTTGCAATATCATATGTGGTTATGGATTACATATGACAATTTGAAATTTTGGTTCAGACTTTACCGAGCATCATGGAACTTGACGTGCTTGATTTGCTTTCGCGGGCCACATAAAATGATGTGGCGGGACAGATCTGGCCCCCGGGCCTTGACTTTGATACCTGTGCATTAGACAAAGTCGACTCGATCATCACGATAGCATTGACCTAAAAAAAAAAAAATCAATCTGAAGCCATTCAAACTTGTTTTCACATTTTACAAGGACGCTCACATTAATGGAGACTTCTGACCATTTGCCCTCGTCCTTCCACATTTCTTGACGAATTCAAACTGAAAAATGTTCAGCTCACTCATGACATCTGGGGAACCAATTTTCACACGATCAAAATTCCCGCACGTTTCCAGTGCAAAATTCCCGAACGAATGGAGACATTTTAAGAGATGGCCCTCTTCGAAAAACACATTGCTCAACCGATTCGAACCATCCCAGCATCAAAAATCCAGCACGTTCTTGGAGACCGTTCTCACAATGTCATGCAAACAATTTACAGTTGGACATCATCCACATTTTACTTCCAACTGTTTTCAAAACATTCCATTTTGTCCCGGAGTTCCACCGTTTCCGAGGCAGAATCCCCAAATGAACGAAGACGCTTCAGAATTTATTTTCCTCCCAACTTTGTTTTGTTGTTGTTGTCAGGGATCATGTTACTCTCTTGACTGGAGGCATCGATTTTGCATCAGTTTCAGAGGTCTTCTTGTGCGCTTCCCCCCCCCCCCCCCCCCCTTCTTCAAACTGTGTCATCTCAACTTGTTGAATGCAATCTACTTGCGGAAACGTAAGCGGAAGGTAGTTCGGGCCTCCCGCCAAGGTCCTGCGTCTCCCTCTCTTTCTCTGATCGATTTTTTTTTAACCATACACGTTCTTATGTCTTTCTTCTCTCTCTGCCTTTGATTTGCTCTCTCTCCTCGCTCTCTCATATTTTCCCTTTTTTTATTTATTTATTTATTTTTTTTTTGCCTTGACTTTCCTCTGGCTTGGTTTACAAAGGCTGTCAAGCGCAGCCTCGCCGCTCAGGTGCTCGACGCTATCGCTCTGGACGTTTTTCTAGATGCTTGCTGTACATACGATCACTCTCGAGGTCCTTGGAGACGGCGTCCTCCAGGCTGTCGCTTTTGATTCTCACGCTCCACCTGCTGCCACTTTTCAAAGCGCCGCTCCACGATATCATCCATGCCGTCGCTCTTGATGCCTTTCTAGATGCCAGCCTATATGTTAGCGCGTTTATAAGATAAGAAAAGATAAGAAAACCTTTATCAGTCTCGCAATGGAGAAATTCCCAATTCACAGCAGCAAAGTTATGAATGGAAGAAGTCGAACAACAAAATATATGATGCCGTGGTACCTTTAGTTACGAATGTCTCTTCATACGAAACATTTAAGTTACGAAACATTCAAGTTACGAAACGCCTCAACGGGAAAATATCGCCTTTTGTTACGAAAGAAATGTCAAGATAGGAAAGGTAAAAATACAGTAAGGGCTGCTTGTCGCAGCTCCGAGTTTCCTGAACGCAACATACTTGTAGCTGCTCTGCCATTGGCTATTACCGAGCATCATCATGGCATCCCATTGGCTAAGAGGGACCTCTACCGAATATGTCTGTGTGATTCTCGGGTGCTGTGTTCGCTGCTGTCCTGGATGCTTTCCCAACTGTTGTTTAAGTTCGTAGGTACTGTTAGTTACTCTTCTCGATGCTCATCTTGATGCTGTGTTAGGGGCCGTTTTGTTTCAGTGTAAGGTGCTAGTCGAGATGCTCCTCTAGATACCATATACTCCAGGTGTTGTTCTACCTCCTGTTGCCTTCCTTATAAGGCTTTTTAATTTTTTGCTGCTCCAAAAGTATGTTTTTTTGTTGTTGTTTTTTTTTGGTCCAATAAGGCTCTTTCAACATTTTGGCTTGGCAACCCCTGGTCCAGATGTTTCTCTGGACTATTCTACCTGTTTCTTTCTAGATATTTTATTCAGATCGTTTAGATTCTAAATTGCAGCCCTACATACTCGACCGCGGTTCTAGATGTTTCCAAAGCAGCTCCTCCAGATACCGTTTGATGCTGTTTTGTTTTTCTCGATGCTCCGCTTGACATTTGTATTTGTTGCTGCCAGAGGTGTTTCTCCTCACGCTCCTCTATGGACTGTGTTAGTTGCTATTCTAGATGCTCCTTTCGATACAGTCTTAGTGTCGAGGGTGTTATAGAAGTTTGTCTCGATGCTGTTGGAGTTCTTCCACACCTGTACGTTGTTCCCCTTCAAATGAGTGCCTCTCTTCAGACGCCTCCTCACTTACAGCGTTCGCACACTGCATGCGTGCATGGGCCCTTGTTTGTGTGTGCTCAGCAGGTCTTTGTCGTTGCGTTTGTGTGTGTGTGTGGGTTTTTTTTTTTTTCTTTTACGCGTGGCGGCCAACCGAGCGAGCGAGTTTGCGGCACCACCGCCTCGGCCTTAATCCTCTAAAGCTCTGTCGTTGGGGCGCGCCGCATCGGCATCCGTTGTCCGGAAAGACAAAGGCATCCGCTTACAACTCAACAGCGGTAAGAGCAACAAACGCCCAATTATAGCAGCCTGGCTGGATTTTTAACACTCGCTGCTCTTTTATATTGCGACTGGACTTGCTCCGACATGACATGGGAATTGGTTTTTTTTTCCCTTGTGTCCACGATAAAGATGTAAGATGTGCACAAACTGCGACTATGCGTCAACAATATATTACTTTGTACCCACAAAATAGGTCAAATGGGCTCACCGAACACTC